GCATTCCCCAGAGTTAGCAGGAACATACAGTACCGCAGGTGGTGGTTCACTTTCCCTTTCAGATCTCACATTCAGTAGCATTCCCCAGAGTTAGCAGGAACATACACTACCGTAGATGGTGGTTCACTTTCCCTTTCAAATCTCACATTCAGTAGCATTTCTTAGAGTTAGCAGGAACATTTCACTTTTCCTTCCAGATCTCACATTCTGTAGCAACGGAAACGGAATTGAATCATGGACAGTTGGAAGATTAGAGAGCAAATATTTGGAAGCTACTGAGGCGTGTTTAAATAGCCGAATGATGAGAATACCTTTGCCAGATAAAAAGAGTAATGAAAATGTTGTGAAAGAAGAGAAAACTGTTGCCCACATCAGAATTAGGCATTCTACATTCGTTTGTCATGCGTTGAGAAGGAAAACCCTGGAGTAAATCGTGGCAGTAGGAAAGTTCGAGGGAAGGAGAGGCACAGGGAGACCGAGAGAGAAGAAGCTGGACGGTTTGACCTCATGGCATAGATAATAATTCGTATCAGAGTTGATTGAAAGTGCCTGAGACAGAAGGTTGTGAAGGGACATGACTACCAATGCCACTAGGTATGGACTTTAAGAACCATTGACTCTTCAGAAGCCTTAGTGGTATAGAGACTAGACTCTCGCCTGGGGTTTTGAAGGTCGTGGGTCCCAGTCCTGGCCTAGCTAGACAGTTTTTTTTTTTTTCGAAAATGAGAATTGCTCCCACCTAGATCCAGCCCTTAATCGGTACCAGGTAATGTCATGAGAAGTAAAGGCTACCGGCGTGTCGTTGACACTATTACCTATCTAGTACCGATTTGTCTTTAAAATATAGGTCTTGCCCTCTATGTAAAGTACACATAAAAGAGTGGCCAAAGTTTTTTTTTTTCTGTACACTGACTCCTCAACGATCTACAACAGGTATTCCCAATTGGTTAGACCTGCCGATAGCTCCTATTTCCAGAGTTCAGCCACCGACTATACCCATTATATTAGTTAAAATGTAACTTTCTGGCGTTGAATGTTTTCCTAGTTATCCATTAAACTAGTTCCATTGAGCACTGAATGGGAAGGTCTAAATGAGATTAGAGATCCATTGACTACGTCATAGAAGCGAGAGCGACACACCACGACAGGCTTCAGCTGACCGGTCGTGCTGCTGATGTCACCGGGTCGGGCTAGTTAGTTAAGGCAGCGGTTCTGAAACAAGAAATAAACTATTTTCGACAGTGGCGAGGTAAGAATAATTAATTTTATTTTTAAATTATCTAAATGCCTTTTTAATAAATTTCATAACCGACTTATAATTGCGGGCAAACGCTTACGGCACCCTAAGGTGCCTCGGCATCCAGTTTGAGAACTGCTGCGTTAACGCATCGTTTACCAGATGTCGGTGACGTCAGCAGCACACCCCGTCAGCTAGAGCCTGTCGTAGACACAACCCCATTCACAATCGGTGCGCAACAACAGAAACAGTCAACATTCCTATTATTATTCTATTATCTCCTCCGGAAGAGATGCATGTGCCCCAGAATTAGATGACGCCAGTTCTAGTTAAATAATGCTCTGTATCATTAATCCAGTTCAATCAATTACTTGAATTCCCCCAATTGTCACGACATTACCTAATTTAGCCCTTTCTCTTAAACATGTTGAGAGAATATTTGAGAGCCTATTTCTGATATGGGTTATTAGTTTTCGTCACGAATGCCTGCCAAGACGTCTCTCATTCGTTTTGTTTTTAAAAAAATATGTTCATTAAAAAAAAGAAAAAAGAGAGAAATGTAACGAAAGGGAAAAAAAATGGGGGATGATTAGGATAAAGAGATTCAGGTCACCGTCTATAACAAGCTGATCTAGTGGGTCTCGCTGTTTTGAATGGATTAGTCAAAACGGGAAAAGTGGTGATTCTCTCTCTCTCTCTCTCTCTCTCTCTCTCTCTCTCTCTTTCTCTCTCTCTTTCTCTTTCTCTCTCTCTCTCTTTCTCGATCTTTCTCTCTCTCTTTCTCTCTCTTTCTCTCTCTCTCTCTTGTCTTTCTCTTTCTCTATCTCTCTCTCTCTCTATCTTTCTCTCTCTCTATCTCTCTCTCTCTTTCTCTCTCTCTCTTTCTCTCTCTGTCTTTCTTTTTCTCTCTCTTTCTCTCTCTGTCTCTGTCTCTCTTTCTCTCTCTATCTTTTTCTCTCTCCATCTTGCTCTTTTTTCACTCTCTTTCTCTTTCTTTGTCTTTTTCTGTCATTCTTTCTCTTTCTTTCTCTTTCTTTCTCTCTCTTCTCTCTCTCTTTTCTCTCTATTTTCTCTTTCTCTTTTTCTCTCTCTTTCTTTCTCTCTCTCTTTTTCTATCGCTCCCTCTCTTTCTCTCTTATCTCTCTTTCTCCTCTCTTTCTCTTTCTCCCTATCTTTCTCTTTATCCTTCTCTCTTCCCCCCCCCCCCCCCCACCACTCTCATCTGGTATCCTTTTTAAACTCTTTGTGTGACTGGTGTGTGTATCCGTATATATATATAATATATAATATATTATATATATCTATATATATATAATATATATATAGATATTACACACACACATATACTAGTTAGTTAATTGCGTATCCTTTACAGGACGTTGCAGAACCAACTACATAATTGTTTAGGCTGTTGTGATTTTTTCTAGACACATTTAGGTCCAGTAGTTTGCCATAACTTCCAGGACTGTCGGCTTCTCGATACTACTGTCGAAACCACATCAAGGCCTGCAGCTGGGATTGAACCCTGGACTTCGGCATTTCAAAGCTCGTTAGCAACGCCTAAGCCACAGACACTGACATATATATATATAATATTATCAGGTTCTTCACAAAACGTCGCTCTAGTCACCTTGCGCTTGAAAGTTTCTTTCGCGAACCAGTTCTCCAGCCCAATGTGCCCTAATATCTAATTCATCTTCAAAACACTGGCCGAGTTTGGCCATAGAGCGGTTCAATTGTTTATGCAAAGGTCAATTCATTCTTTCAGAGTGGCATCGGAACAAACACAACATACCCAGATTTAACAAAGTTGGACCAATACGTCATCACATTCTTGGACAAGGCAACCTCGGGGTCCTCCTGAAGGCTGGCGTCTCCGAAAACGTAATTTACTTCTGAAGCGTGCCCTGTTCCATGAAACCAAGGAATCGCGGTTTCTTTTGGCTCTGGTAGGTTGAACCGGTACACAAATGTTGCTCCTGGTGTTAATGGGCTTTCCGTTGAACTCTGGCTCAGCGGTGGTGCAGTTTTAGTAGTAATTTCATGCCGGTTTGTTAAACTTTGAGGTCTCCGGTGGCAGTGCGCAGAAGCCGTGTCCATTACTGGAATTGCAAAGAAGACATCTGTTAGAAAGTCTATCGCTCGATTACTCTGAGAATATAAATCCTTTGGGTGCTTCCAGTCGATATATCGATCGAGGACAGAGCTGATTATATATTCATCAACGCTTTCATTGTAGTAGTGCTGGAAATACATGCGGACTATCTTCTTGAAGAACTCTGGGTTAATGGTTGATTGCATGAGTTCGTAAACTTTTGAACTGTTGTCTCTAGAAGATAAAACTGCATTCAACATCCATGCTACATCACCATCTTGAGCATCTAATCCGATGAGAAGATCTTTGTTTTGGAAGTACCCAGGCACGGGTGAAGGGTTTACGAACAGCGGGTGCAGCCATTTGTGACAAGATCTTGTATGGATCCTCAGGGACAAAAGGTTCTTCAACTGTTGGCTCGATAGGTAGACTACCAGGAACCAGCATAGGAAGACTTACATTGACCAGGGATTCAGCTGAGATGCTCATCAGACAAGCCTTCAATTGTTGATTTGTAGTGTTTATTTCACAGTTTAGCTGTTTGGCCACTCTTAATGTAGTGTTATATCCTGTTAAACTAGCACTTTTAACAGCCGTTGGTGTACCACTCTGGGCGATAACCCTCTGAAACAGCCCATCATTCCCTTGATACAAAGCTTGGTAGATAGAGCTGTAACTCCCAGCAGATTGACCACCAAGGGTGATACGGTCCGGATCACCACCAAAGATATGTATATATTTCTTCAACCACTGAACGGCCACATGCTGATCCCACAATCCAAGATTTCCTGGAATTACACCATCGTTAGTTGTTAGAAAGCCCAGATTGCCGAGTCTGTAGTTAACGGTCACTACAATTATCTTTCCGTGTCCGGCCAGCACTGACCCATCGTAACAGTTGCCGCTGCCCATAACAAAAGCACCGCCATGAAGATACACTAATACAGCATATTTTGTATTAGCTGGCAGAACAAGAGGCTTGTCATGAGTGTCTGCAGGTGAAGCTGAACGTTTCATAGTCACCTTAACCGAACTCCAGCGTCCTTCGCTTCTGTTTTCTGCGTTCAGATCAGTCATTAAAGTCTTTTCCAACCTTTCCATCTGGTCCAGTATGCTTTTCACTGACGAAAGCATTAATTTAGAAGATGTATTGGATGACATTGGCGCCGAAGCATTATCCAAAGAACTAGAAGACTCTTCTAGAGATCCGTTTAGCTTGAGTGTTGTAACCGTTGGAAGTGTGCTAGTAGCTATGGATTTAATAATCTCACTACGTGTCTCATTGCTGATGTTCTGAAGCGGGACATAGATGTTCAAGAAAAGACATTCCTCGCTCATAGGTTGTTTTTGACACGGGTCGCCTGGGGTAAGAACTTGCGGACAAATATAACCAAACGTTTTAGCGTCAACAACACCTGGCTTTGGTACATTTAACACTGGTTTAGCGAACCTTTGAGATATCTTGGCGTATGATATACCTAGAAATCTAACAGTTACAAATTCTTCCGAGGCAAATTCAGTGACATGAGCAGTACCCACAAATCGCGTATTTATTTCACGTGTGCTCAATGTAGTTATATCCAGACGACTTTCGCCAAGGTCGCAGAGAAAGTAGATGGCGAACAGAGCATATAGACGCCCATAATATACACATCGACTTGTTCTCATGATGGAATTACAATCTGCAACACAAAAAAATGATTATGTTAATCCGAATGAAAAAGTGGCATCAGTAAAGTAGGCAATTAGTCTCTTGTTTGGTTGTCTCAAGGTCATGAGTTCGATTCCACAATGTGATTCTACAGTTTCCTTTTTTTTTTTGCGTACCCCCTTAAAAGGGCGATTGATAATTGGGTCTGTAGTTTACAGCTAGACTGCGATATTTGCAAGGGTAAGTGAACATATGTGTCTAGCCAGGTTACTGCGTTAGCGTTAGCATCAGGCCCTTCTTTAACAGTTCTCACTCCAGTCTGCGCCATAAAACATGCATTGCTGCATACATATGTAACGAGGACAATAAGTTGACACACTAACATTTGTAAAGTAAAGATCCCTTATCAAGCCTTTTGGCGCATCGGGCATACAAGAAGAGCGCCACATTTTTACAGATCCAATCGGCACTAGGTGGGTAAAGTGGTCAGCATTACGCCGGCCGTCTTTACTTCCACAGGACAGCCATCCTACACACTAACATTGACACAGCGAAATCTCCTTAAAATGATTATGATTTAGTTTACCCATTAAAGGGTGAAATATGTATATGTGCTAGACAATTTTAGTTTTAAAAGTCGATATACTTTCCAACATGTGAGAAGAAATTAACGTGAAAACTGGAACATAATTGAATACACTATTACAAGCCCTATGCGACATGCATCGGCGCGACGGAATGAAATGATAATGATAATGATGAAGGGAACGTAAAGCGTCACCGATATAAACAACGCAGAACTCAATAACTTTCTGCTACACTTATGACCTATGCAAGTTACCCTCTAATCTTACGGGTCAGGAAATTACGGAAACTGATGTAAAAGAGATATTATTCACATTTTTTTACACTAATCCTTGGCACATAGATTGCATTTGTTATGGTTTATGTACACATTTTATAACCTGGTTTGAATAGAAGTAGCGCTTGAAAGATATAAATTCGACTTAAAACCTGTTAATCGGAGAGGAACTGGGTCGTAGGTTAGGAAGATCCTGTAGTGGTAATAGTGAATGATACTTGAGATAGCAAACCACTGCCACCCACACTAAACGACATGGCACACGATGCTATCAAACAATTTACATTCTTTTTTTTCCAACTTTACCTTTAAAAGCTCTACGAAAATGGCAAACTAGCGAACGTAAACTTGCTTAATAGGACAAAACAGCCAAAAGAATGCTGGGGTTGGTTCTGCAATGTTCTGTAAAGGATACGCTAACATATGAAATAAACAAGAATGTACTATGTTGTCTAAATTATATGGTCAAAGCCACATACCTTTTCTCAAGTCCAACACAACTACACCACACTGCTGTATTGCGCAGTAGTTGTCAGCCTAGACAGATTGATGTTGTAATTACCTTAGCTGTCGAATTTATGATCGACTTCTTCACAATCAAACGATTGTATAAATAGAGATTGCTGATCAGTTTATCGTCTGTATAGATCGTCTGCCTTTGCTTTATGGATTGTCATCGTAATAAACGAAAGCATACTATTAATTCACTATTAATTTTTAATATATGTGTTGAATAGACCTAAATTCAGAACCAATTTCACAAGCGCTTGTCCCCTATCTTCAGCAGTTAGCATAAGGCTTTCGATTCCGAAAGTACCAGTAATATTCTGATTTGTATGTGCTTCTTTTCTTGCCTTTCCTTGAGTGTTCAGTGTAGGTCAGTTCTTTCGGTCATTCCCCACTGTACCATTTTATCCAGACTATGATGATCTATTCTACTTTCACACTGTTTACTCGATCCTAGGGCTGTACCGAATAGTGATTTTCGCTATTCGGTCGAACACGAATAACTGGACAACTATTTGACCGAAAAAGAATACGAATAGTGTATAAAATATATCTAAAAAACATTCATAATGTCAAATGTACGCTGAACTTTTACTTCACATAAAGTAGCACAGAATAGTCATCTTCTTCTTTAGCATTCTGAGCCCTTGAGGTATACTGTTGCGGATATCACTCGTCTCCTTTAATCTCTCTGGCTGGCCTTATCTACACAATTTGTGACACCAGTTGTTTGCTGGTCTGGCTGGACATTATCTCTCGAACTTTTTTGTGTGTCTGCCTCGTGGTCTACGCCCATTCCTCTCTCAGGTGTATACAGTTTTTACTTCTCTGTCATCTGACATTCTTTCAATATGACCCAACCATTTTAGTCTGTTAGTTCTCATGATGCCAGTGATCAATGGTGAATTAAACAGATTGTGTGTTACGTGGTTGCTTCTCACTCTTCATTCTCCGCTGTCAGCATCTTGATGGGTCCAAAGATTTGTCGTAAGACTGTTTTCTAAAACCTGTAATAAGGCCTTATCTCTTTTATTTATGCTTCAAGTTTCAGTGCTATATTAAACGACTGGTCTTATCAACGTTTCATATATTTTGATCTTGGTGTTGCGAGACAGACACTTTGACTTTAGCAGATGTTGAAGGGCATAGTATACTTTATTTCTAAATTGTATTCTAGATTGCATTTCTTCTCTCAGCATGTTGGAGCAGTTGGAGTTTGCACCCAAGTACTTATATGTTTCAGTTCGTTTGATTTTCATATTATTGACTTGGATGTGGCCGAAGTTTATATTTTTTCCATGTCTAGTTAGTATTTGTACAGAAGAGTAAACATTTAAAAACATTTTATGTTTAGCATCCTTCAGTCAGTCTGTGGTAACTAATAACTAGGAATGAAAGAATACTAAGTATTATAACAAGTAATTAAACTTGGAAATTGTCACTGACAGCTTAGGAAATGCAGGAAAGCTGCATTAGCTTTCAACAAAACCAATCGTTCCATCTTGTCAGCATTAAGGCCGTGTATGCAGAAGCGGGTATAGGGTAACTACTATTCGTATTCGGCCCGACTGCAGCTATTCGGCCGTATACCAAATAGTCAATAGGTCCACTATTCGGCCCCGAAGCGAAAACGAAACGAATATTCGGTACAGCCCTACTTATTACCAAAGGGTCTTGAACACCTCTAGATTGTCATGCGTTGAATTACCACTAGGTGGTGCATACAATTTTGTTCTGTCTGCCTGATTCCCAACTCACCATCATACCCTGGAGAAAATATCCAAAAGAACGCTAGCTTATACATTTCAGTGGCCTTTTGAGTTCCCCTACGTATCACTTGTTTGTCTGCGTCATCACCGTAGCAGGGCCATTCAACTAGCGGCCCGCGGGTCACATCTGACCCGAGGAGGCATAGCAAGTGGACTGCAGATCATTGTCAGTTGTATTATATTCACGATCTCTCTATGCTAAGGCTTAAGTCCCTGGCCCATGACGACAAGTATTTTGAACATTTTGGCTCCTTAGTTAAATAGTTCTGCCCTAGCACTTCGTTCCAACCCATTCGTGCTCCGTCCTCCAATGCAGCGGCGATGCCAGTGTCTCCCCGCTCAGCGTGCACAGTGGGAGTTTACTGGCATATTTTCTTGCTCTTTGCCTCCAAACGTTTTCTACATGTTTGTCGTCGTTTCTGACACCCATTTCCAACAGACGGTCCTCGTTTCTGACTCCTTGGTCCCAACGTATCTAGAACGCAGCCCATTTAGTATACCCTCCCTGTGCATACTTCTTTTTACACCAACCACTGCAGACACATCCAGTTTGTCAGCTCTTTCGTTTCCTTTGAACCAGGTTTCTTTCTCACTGTGTATACAGACAGGATAGCAGTATCTTGAGGCAGAAGATTTCGATGCTATAAAACTTTTTCAAGGCCTGGTTAGAGCTTCTTAAACATGCTCATTGGGGGGGGGGGGGGGGGGAGGAGGAGGAGCTGTGTGGTCTCGAGGCATAGTGTCAGCTTCGAGAGCTAGAGGTTCCGGATTCAATCCGGGTTCTAGTAATTCCCCCTGCTCTCTTGGTAGTGAGATCGGACGCCCGTGTGCATTGTTGCACATGTAAACAATTTCCTTGGCAGTTGGAAATTGGAAAGAGTAACTTAAATGGCGCTGCCCGGGCAAAATTTTGAGTTACAAATCTACCCAAAGTATTTCAGGATCCTCGCTGGTGCTACAGAGCCTGTGCACTGTGCTGAGCTTCTTTGGACTCAGACTTGGGTAAGAAAAAGAACCGAGCACTTATGGGTTACTACCCGTGTGTCATGATTTCAATCCTTTGTTCAAAACCTCAAAAACCATCAAAATCTCAAACATGCTCATTGAATCAGTCACTGCCAATGCTTGAGCTGCATTCTGTTGCTGTCGTGCAAGTGTTCAAGTGACATCAGCTGTCTCCATCGTCGAGTGTTTCCTTACGAATACTAGTAAAGTAAAAGACTTTTCCCACGACTTCTGAATTATTGGGTATATAGAGCTAGACCTATATTTTATAGACTAAACAGCAGTTGGTGGGTGATGAGGTGAGCACTACACCGGCCACCTTTACACCAGGACTGTACCCGGTACCCACTCAAGGCTGAGTCGACCTAGGAACCAAAGTCTCTGTTATAACCCGAACCCATTACCTTTCGATCCGCAGGCGAGCGTCTAGCCCCTAGAACACAGCGGCTCCTCTAGGGAGGAATTAACTCTATTAAAATATCAATAGGCATGTGATCTACGAGACAATGGCACTGCAGGAAGCAATCTAACTAACTAACTAACTAACTAACTAACTAACTAACTAACTAACTAACTAACTAACTAACTAACTAACTAACTAACTAACTGACTGACTGACTGACTGACTGACTGACTGACTAACTGACTGACTGACTGACTGACTGACTGACTGACTAACTAACTAACTGACTGACTGACTGACTGACTGACTGACTGACTAACTAACTAACTAACTAACTAACTAACTAACTAACTAACTAAATAATTAATTAATTAACAAATTAATTAACTATGAAATTACCTAACTAACTAACTAAATAACTAATTAATTAACAAATTAATTAACTATGAAATTAACTAACTAACTAACTAA